AATGCTGACAGGAGGTAGGAAAAAGGTAGAACTACTTAATGTCTTCTCACAAAAAGAAAGTCATATTCAACCTCAGCAAGATGGACTGGATGAGGGATTAGAGGACATCCAACCCCAAATTGGGAAACAAGTCGTCCAGGAATACCTGGTCATACTAAACTAGTTCAATTCCCCAGGGCCAAATCAATGGCACCCAAGAGTATTGAAGGAACTAGCAAGAGTAATCTTGGAACCATTGGCAATCATCTTTGAGAATTCTTGGAGAACGGGAGAAATTCCAGCAGATTGGAAGAGGGCCAATGTGGTCCCAAGACTGAAACCATTACCATCCGGTCTACCTCACATCGATACCAGGCAAGATTCTGGAAAAGATTGTTAAGGAAGTGGTCTGCAAACACTTAAAAACAAATGCGGTCATCGCTAATAGTCCACACAGATTTATCAAAAACAAGTCATGCCAGACTAATCTGATCTTTTTTGTTCGATAAGAATTACAAGCCGGGTAGATGCGGGGAATGCCGTGGATGTAGCGTATCTGGACTTCAATAAGGCCTTTGACAAGGTCCCCCATAATCTTCTGGCAAATAAACTAGGCAAATGTATCTGTAATTAGTTAAGCGAATGAACCCAGAGGATGCTCACCAGTTCTTCCACTTCATCATGGAAAGAAGTGACGAGTGGAGTGCCGCAGGGTTCCGTCCTGGGCCCGGTCCTGTTCAACATCTTTATTATTGACTTAGATGAAGGGTTAGAAGGCATGATCATCAAGTTTGCAGACAACACCAAATTGGGAGGGATAGCCAATACTCCAGAACAGGAGCAGAATTCAAAACGATCTTAACAGATTAGAAAGATGGGCCAAAACTAACAAAATGAAGTCCAACAGTGACAAATGCAAGACACTCCACTTAGGCAGAAAAAATGAAATGCAAAGATACAGAATGTGGGATGTGTAGCTCGAGAGCAGTACATGTGAAAAAGATCTTGGAGTCCTTGTGGAGAAGTTAAACATGAGCCAGCAATGTGATGTGGCGGCAAAAAAAGCCAATGGGATTTTGGCCTGCATCAATAAGAGTATAGTGTCTAGATCCAGGGAAGTCATACTACCCCTCTATTCTGCCTTGGTTAGATCACATCTGGAATACTGTGTCCAATTCTGGGCACCACAATTCAAGAGAGATATTGACAAGCTGGAATGTGTCCAGAGGAGGGCGACTAAAATGATCAAGGGTCTGGAGAACAAGCCCTATGAGAAGCGGCTTAAAGAGCTGGGCATATTTAACCTGAAGAAGAGAAGGCTGAGAGGAGACATGATAGACATGTATAAATATGTGAGAGGAAGTTTTAGGGAGGAGGGAGCAAGCTTGTTTTTCTGCTGCCCTGGAGACTAGGAGGCAGAACAATGGCTTGAAACTACAGAAAATGAGTTTCCACCTGAAGGTTAGGAAGAACTTCCTTAACTATGAGAGCTACTTAACAGTGGATTTCTCTGCCCTGGCGTGTGGTGGAGGCTTTTAAACAGAGGCTTGATGGCCATCTGTCAGGAGTGCTTTGAATGCAATTTTCCTGCTTCTTGGCAGGGGGTTGGACTGGATGGCCCACAAAGTCTCTTCCAACTCAACGATTGTATGATTCTATTCAAATCAACCTATGTGAATTGAGATTGGTCACTTCATTCTTCTGTGTTCACAGAAATTACTACTCTTTCAAATGTTTGCATGACAGAGTTTACTTTTTTACAGCATTTTACTTAGTTTAATGATAAAAAAACCCTCCTTTTTGACAACTCCTGTAAAATCAATGGAAGCTGGATGTGTAACTAGCCCCACTTTCCCCATCCTTTATTCACTATGTATATGCAAAGACAAGTATTCCAAACCCTAAAGGACTAAAATAATAATAATTAAAAAACCTCATGTCCCAAGCATTTTGGATAAGGAAGGCTCAGGGTGCTTCCAGACAGCACGACAATGTGGCTTTAAGAGGGAGGCAAAAAAAACCCTGGGACCTGAGAGCAGGTCCACACACAGACCTGTGCATCCAAAGATTTCTTCCCTCACCATACCCACAGGTCTCCTCTGTCTCGGAACAAGATGGGGGGGGGGGGGGCAGATGGCAGACACCTGGTGGAAGTTTTCAGCATTATGCGCTGAATCATATATGTGCACATGCAAATATCTTAATATAAATATAAGCAGATTAGCATGCGCACATATGAGGTTCAGCACAAAATAGAGTGATTTTTAAAAAACAAATCCACCTGATTTCTACCTTCCTCTAATTGTTTTTTTTCAAGCTCTCTTTAATATTATACCATTTCAAATAAAGAGTTTCAGAGAGTTCTAATTGCTCTCAATTCGTGCTTCTTTAATTCAAGTGTGTGTTTGTTTTACAACCCAATTGGTTGATCAGTTGTTTCAGGCTTTTAAAAAGCAGGCATGTGCTGGAGCAGTCTTTACAGGGGGAGGGGAGGAAATCACATGTTTTTGCTAAGTGCAGGAATAGACATGTGATGCTAATATGCACATTTTTGGCCAAAATCAGGATAAAAGGGGTACTTTTTATCCCGTATTTTTTGGTTGTTGCAGTGAATCAGCACGCATTTAGTGCTATAATGTAGCCACCACATCCCCCTTTTAACAAGGGAAACCCTGTGTTTTAGGTATTATGTAGATGGGTCTTTTAAATATTGTGTTCATTCCAAATGAAACTTTTCATCCAGGAGGTGGCAGTACCACCTTGTCTCAGCTTCTTACAGACAGCAGACAAGTTCATATGCACAGTTACCTCATGATAACCTGTAATGTTTCCCAATGCATTCCTCCATTAAAAGAAAAAGAAAAGAAAACCAGTATGTTAGTAAAATTCTGAAATGATGAAACACTGTCAAAGAGTATTCACAACAGACTCACTTAAAAAGGATATGACTGCGTGAAGAAAAACCCAAAGCCACAGAGCAGATATTGGATCACATCAAGGAAGCAGAGTGGTATCTGCTTCTGAACACATGTTGCTAGTTAGTCCCAGAGAATCCAAGCACATTCCAGGCTGTATGTTTCTATACTTCTGATTAAACAAGGAGCCCATATATTACTTTAAGAGAAAACACTATACATATAAGAGGATACTTCATAGTCTCCATTGTTATTTTCTGTTTTCTCAGTCCTGTTACTCATATAGGAATACCTGTATGAACACAGAAGAAAGCTTTCTTGGTGGCTGGTCCCAGGCTGAACGCCCTTACTAGGCAGAGCAAATGAAAAAAAATGCTGAGAATGAAAATGAAAAACAGACCTCACAACCTCTGAGGATGCCTGCCATAGATGCAGGTGAAATGACAGGAGAGAATGCTTCTGGAACATGACCATACAGCCCGAAAAACTTACAGCAACCCAGTGATTCTGGACATGAAAGTCTTTGACAACACAATAGAAAAATTTCCATTTCAACAAGATATGGAAATTTATTTATAAAGAAAGGATTGTTAATAATATTCTATACTATTTTATGTTTACCTTTTAAATGGAAATATTTTAAATTATTGTAATTCCATAGTTGGTATTTTGAACATTAATGTTTTCTATCATTTTATCTATACACAAAATTTGTTTTTATCGGTATTTGTTTTATTTTTTTTAAATCACCTGAAGCTCCAACAATGACTCTGATTACGATAACAATAATAATTCAAAATGATTCAATCCAAGGAATTCAAATTCTTCAAAATAATCTTTCACGAAGTCTGAAAAGCTATAATTCAATAATAATAATAATAATAATAATAATAATAATAATAATACAGTATCCTCCACTTTCAGAGGTTAGAGTGTGCACATTTTAAAAACTGCTGCATTTGTATTTAAGAGAACACCTGTTTAGGAGTCTGTAAATCCTCCAGGCCAACTCTATGGTCAACATTTATAAGAAATTAACTACACAGTCACCCTGGAAGACCTAGAGATTAATAGAAAGAACATGTTAATTCCCTGCCTCCCAGTAGCTTGTTACAATCAGTGTTTGGTATGTCCTGATAAATAAGTCACAAGAAAGTTGAACTAAAAGCACATCACAAACCAGAATCCACTGGAAACCAGGATTTAAAAGCACTTTATGGAACATCCTCGCTAGAGCGACATAGAATTCAAACAGCATAGCTGTGGAAAGAAAATAACGTATACAAAGCTATGGCATTTCTTGAGCACTAAAACTATCGTTTGGAATCCAGTAAAACAGTGGAGCTTTTTGTCCCTGATGCCAGTAGGAAAGTTTCAATATACATATTTCAAGGGTTTTTTTATTTTAAAAAATGTCAAAAGAAGAAATTGTATCATGGCAAAGTGAATAAACAACAAGACACTACCATATATACTCATGTATTAGTTGACCTTATTTATAAGTCTAGGGCAGGTTTGGATTCTGGATTTTGATATGACGTGTGAATAATTGATCATCATTCCAAGTAGAGGAGAAAGCACTAATGCCAACTCAAGAGGTCATCCATCACTGGCCGATACAGCTACTGTTTTCTCACCCAGGCAGTCAAAAAAGCCAGATGTGGTGCCATGGCTATGATAATAGAAGGGGGTTTAGAGTCCTCCCAGGATGGAATAGTTGACAATAGGGACAAGTTGATCCAGGTTTTTTTGTTTATTTTTTGTCTAAAATTTCTAGACTTATACATGAGTATATACAGTACATCTTTGCTTCTTTTAAAAATCATTAATTGCTCATTTTTGAAAGCAATTGAAAATTTAACTTGACACAGTGGCATTTGAGACAGATTGCCCTTTTAAAAATGACAGCTTTCTTTCCAGGATTTCTAGCCAGAACTCAATGCTTTGAGTTATTAAAGGCATTCAAATTATGTTTTTTCTTGACACTATTTCAGAATATGTCTTGTGTACTCAAAACATATACTGGTATACTCAAAACTACATATGCATAGTTCCTGAAATCAGGAAGCATAACCCGCACAACAGAAAAAAATAATATCTACTTACTGTAATTTGCTGATAAGGATCTATACTGGACATTTTTTTGTTTCAGTAACTGAACTTAGATCACAAGATGAGTGATATTGCTTGCAGATCTAATATTTTTTCATGCTGGATAACTTCAATTGATATGTTCTTTTCAGTGGCTGCATAAGAGAAAGAAAGAAGTTTAAACATCTTGTTTATACTATCTTCCTATTTTTCAGTATATCTCCAGATAAAATATAACAGTACCCCTAACCCTGAAAAGCTTTCTTGTGGCAGAAATAAGAAGCCAAAATAAGATTAAAAAATAATCAAGGGAAAAGCAACCCACAGCCAGCAAGGAGGAAACAGAATGGAGTATACCTGTTAAGCTTCCCGCTATCAATGAAGCATTACTATAATGCTCTAGTTTATCATAAAGTGGCAGCCTTGCTGGCCTTTAAAAAAACTGTTGCAAGATTCAGTTCTTGTGGGTTTTTTCGGGTTATATGGCCATGTTCTAGAAGCATGCATCTAGAACATGGCCATATAGCCCGAAAAAACCCACAAGAACTGAGTGATTCCAGCCATGAAAGCCTTCGACAATACATTGTTGCAAGATTGTCTAGAATTGGACACATTATGCCGACATGTTAGATGTCACTGACAGATGAGACACCCACTCATTGCATGCAAATCCCTATACTACCTGCTTCACCAAACAGTGCAGTAAGTCCATTATTGGTTTAAAAGATAATGCAGGAGGAAAAATAAAGATAAAAGGTTGCCAGCCTGAACATATGAAGAAAAGTAAATATAAGACAGCTATATTTGTTGGTCCATTATTTGCTAATTTACATACTAAATAGATAGTTTAGGAATGTGGTGAATTACAGTTTTCATTTGAGTGGGATGATGAACTTCTTCAAAACTTCAAAGGAATTATCCAGAAATGTGATTGATTTATTTTGGCATTAAATTTTGCACCAAACTCTAGGGCACATTCACCATGCCATTGCATTGAAGCCACCAGCCACCACTAACATATGGATCTAACTGGATCAAAAGGGACATGTAGATGAAGAAAATAAACCTTTTCAAATGGATCCACCTACCTCAGTACTCTCCCCACACTCACTTGTCCTACCAAAAGAGCAATCCCCTATTCTTTTTAAAAATATTTTTACTGAAAATTTATAGCACATATTAATCTAAAACCAAGACGGGAAGTTAAGGGTTGGGAAAGGTAGATTAAGGGCGCATGTGTGAAAAGAAAAGCAAACTATAAGAGGTATAGTTATATAGGAAAGAGGAATAGTGAAGAAGGGGAGCAAAGGGAAAAGGGGGAGAGGGAAAAGGGGAAAGGCTTCCAATAATCAGTCCCTTTGCAATTTATTTTATGCGCTTCCTCCTTTCAGTCTTTTTATTTCCAGAGCAGTCTCTGCTTGTGTCTGAGTCAAAGTTTTTATACTATAATCTTGTTTTTTTTTTCTTGAATCATATAAGTCCTTAAAAAGTTGCCAGTCCGTTTTTTTCTTGGGTCTTCCATAGTCGTATTTCAAATGTTGTGTAAAGGTGTCCATATTCAAAATATCCATTATTTTTATCAACCATTCTTCTACTGAAGGTATTGAATCTCCAACTTCTTGCATATACTCTCCTTGCTGCTATTGCTAGGTAATTGAAAAAAATGTCTTTGTACGTATCCATCTCTATATCTATTGTCCCCATTAAAAAATATTCTGGTTTAATTGGTATGTTTATTTTAAGTATTTTCTGGGATATTTCTTGAATTTCTTTCCAGCATTTTTCCACTTCTTCACACTTCTGCCACATGTGGTAGAAAGTGCCTTCTTGTTTCTCACTTTTCCAGCATTTGTTGTGTAATTGCTTATATATCTTACCCAATTTTTGCGGAGTAATGTACCATTGGTACATCATGTTGTATAAATTTTCTTTGAAATCATATGCATAAGTGAATTTCAGTTTGTGGTTCCATATATGTTCCCTTTCCTTTAATTTTATTGTCCAGTCTATATTGGAAGTCCTTCTGACCATGTATTCTTTAATTTGTTCTTGTTCTTTAATTTGTTCTTTAATTTGTTCTTGTTATTAGCCCATTCTAATAGTTCCTTGTAAAATTTGGAGATTATTTTCTTCTCTGTACTCACCAAAGAAAAATTCAAACAAATAGCCAACTCCGTAGGGAAAAGGTCCACAAGGCTAAAGCACAAAATGAGCTCAGGCTTGCCAGGGACATTAAAAACAATCAAAAGGGCTTCTTTTCTTATGTCAATAGAAAAAGGAAAAACAAGGAGGCGATAGGGCCTTTTCGAGGAGAAGACGGGGCAATGCTGACAGGGGATAGGGAAAAGGCAGAACTACTTAATGCCTTCTTTGCTTCACAAAAAGAAAGCCATCTTCAACCTCAGCAAGATGGAGTGAATGAGGGACTAGAGGACATCTATAAAGAATCAAGGTCCTGGGGGATTATATTTTCTAATACATCCCACCTGCTGGCACCACTAATAAGAAACGTATTGTATCTTAAAAATAAATCTCGCTGCTGGGCACCAATATGATTCTGGCATGGAGCGTTTAGATGATTGTTGAGGTAACATGTATACTCTGATAGAGTTGCTGCCACCACCCAAGGTAATTTGGGAATACTAAAGATGTTGTCCCTGAGGTAAATCCCTTCCTGCCCACCAGCTCTCCCTTTGGCTCCCTGAAATGACTGAGATGTAAAGATGTTTATACCACTGGAATTATGCTCACAGAATGAATCACTACTGAGGCTGCTTAAAAGTTGAACTAGAGAAACGTTTATTAATATATTTGAACAAACAACTATCTTCTTTGACGAGGCGCACAAGCTTGAGTGGTTACAGAGGCACAATATTCTTAATGGTTACTTAAATAGGTTTTCTAACTTAGATGTGAGCAAGACTCCTCACTCTACCCTGACTCAGTAGCAGTGAGTTCCCCAGACAAACCTAACACAGTTGTCCCCAGAGCAAATAGCTACACTCTAGTGTCAGGATCTAGTTTCTGGAGCCTGGGCTTTGGCACCGAAAACTAGAGTCCTGATGCTTCGCCCTGATAAGGACCGTGCAGCTGGTGACCTTGGGGGGAGGCAGTTGCCTGGTGGCGGGAAGCTTTACGCGTGGAAGACCCACAGCTCTGGAAAGAGTCGCCGTGGAGCACGGGGAGAGGAGCGGCCGAGAACCAGGGGCACGCCCCAAGACCCAAGCGAGTTGGAGGATGGTTCCTGGCGGCTATGGAAGCATGCTTCCGAGATCCTCTTGAGCGGATCAGGGTGAGAGCAAACTGCAGACTATCGCCCAAGGCCAGAAGACGGTGTCTGAATATGTGGAGGAGTTCCAACTGCTGGCCAAAAAGTGCCCAAATGGTCGATGGTGACGAAATTCCAAATATTTGAGGAAGGGCTGAAAAAGGAAATTTTATCCTGGGCGCTCCACCGTGATGACCCGGAGACGATCAAGGGATGGATACAACTAGCCGGGCGCATCGAGACAACGCTGGCCCAGGTCAAGAGGCATCAGGGAGTGGCGCCGCAGCAGACGCCACTCCTCCCAACAGAGGGAGGAGACCCAGAAACCCGACAGGGAGCCGGCCAAGAGAGAATCGAAGAGCGGGGCGAGGGACCGGCGAAGCGGATGTTATGTGTGTGGCCGCCTAAACCATAGGGCAGCCGAATGTTGGCAGCGGAAAGGGGGGGAGCCCCCATGGCCCAGAGTAAAGCCAGCCGCTGGAAAGAAAGCGGAGGAAGGCATCCTCCTTGAAACCCCGGCGGGGAATTTGGTGAGTCACAGCCCCGGAATGTTGGTGTTCCCCATCATGCTGGAAGGGGTGGGCATATGGGCCGGCTGCAAGGCGTTTATAGACTGCGCGTGTTCTAGGAACATAATGGCTCCTGAACTGGCAGAGGAACTGAAATACGAGAAGGTAGCCCTGCAGACCCCCATAGCCTTCTCCCAATTAGATGGGTCAATAGCATCAGGGGCCCCAGCAAGGTTTGAAGTTAGGGGAGTGAAGTGCAGGGTGGACACATGGGAGGGCGAAGCGACATTCGTCATATCCCAGTTCGCAACGTACAACATAATCCTAGGCATGCCGTGGCTGAGGGAGGCAAACCCACGCATTTACTGGGAAGGGGGAAGCCTACAATTCCCAGGGGCGCCAACAGGGGTATGTGGCCGGGGGGAGGAGAGCACGCCAACAGATTGGGTGCAAAACATTTCCCCTCAATATCGAGACTTCGCAGACGTTTTTGACAAAAAAGAAGCTGATAAACTGCCCCCCAGGAGAAGGGTTGAAGTGAAAATTGAACTAAATAAAGATGCCACTCTCCCTAATGCCAAAATTTATCCCATGACATCAAGGGAGATGGATGAGCTGAAAAAATACATAGATAAGAACTTGGCTCGGGGGTTCATAGAGCCTTCTGATTCCCCCCTCGGGGCCCCTGTGCTATTCAGACGAAAGAAGGACGGCTCGCTGAGGCTATGCGTAGACCAAGGGTCCACAAACTTTTTAAACAAAGGGCCAGGTCACAGTCCCTCAAACTGTTGGCGGGCCGTATTATAATTAAAAAAAACATGAATGAATTCCTATGCACACTGCACATATCTTATTTATAGTGCAAAAACATTTTAAAACAATACAATAATTAAAATTAAGAACAATTTTAACAAATATAAACGTATTAGTATTTCGATGGAAAATGTGGGCCTACTTTTGGCTGACGAGATATGATTATGGTTGTTGTTATGTGTGCATCCAAGTAGTTTCATACTTAGGTTGACCCTGAGTGAGGGCCGGGTAAATGACCTTGGAGGGCCGCATCCGGCCCCCGGGCCTTAGTTTGAGGACCCCTGGCGTAGACTATAGGGGGCTAAACGCCGTGAGCACCACCACGTGTTATCCGTTACCCCTGACCAAGGGCTTACTGTCTAGACTGTCGGAGCTGGACTTGGTCGAGGCTTATCACAAACTACGTATTAAGCCGGAGGACAGGTGGAAGACTGCTTTCTCCTGTGCCCTCGGACTATTCAACTTCTGCGTGTGCCCATATGTATTAAGGGGGGATGGGGGGCATTTATGCAAATGATCAACGAAGTGTTACACCCGTTACTGTACCGCGGGGTATTTTGTTTTA